GAACATCAAGTACACACCAAGATGAGAAAGCATTTTAGGGAAAGCAAAGTACGATATGCAAAGAACGTAGAATAGTATGCGTAACGTCCTGAAACAACCCTAATAGACTGTACATTTGCCTTTTTAGTACTATAGCACTACTCACAAACTATCGAAAATCACTTCTCCATATGTTTGAAAGCTCAAGATTTGAGCGTTTGGACCTGCGAGTTACACAAGATGTGGGATGTGTTACTCATTGGTGAAGAGATTAAATGAAGTCGTTATAAGACATTTGTTTTGGATAAATACCAAAAATCTTGGGAGGTTTGGCCAGGTGGCAAACAAGGAAGATTTGGGAATATTTGCGTTTATCACAATATAAACTAGTTTATCTGAGTATATATTGTGATATCGAGTGTAGGGTTTTAGCTGTGCTTTTGTAGAGACTAAGAACCTAGGTAAGCAATCTTTGAGGTCGGTGTTCGGTTGCGAGATAACAAGTCTGGTTTGTAGATCATGATTGCTTGAGATTAACGTATTTAGGAATTGGTATGTATCAAGTCTTGCATGACGTTGGGTAAAACGGATTAAATATATTTTGTATTGAATTGTTTAAGTGATTCCTAATAGGAGTACTGCATTTTGTTGAATTACTCCAATGATCCAGTGTTCCATATAAAACTTGGTTTTTCATTGTTACCAATAATTCAATTATTCTAGCTAAAACATGTTTAACAAATTTCTAGACAAGTGACCAAAAAAGGAAAAACAGTTTAGTAATATGTAGTCAAACTAGTTTTTTAAACATGCATCACTTACATCATCATATACTACAAATTGAGATGTTATAGCGTTATTGATTCGTTTGTCGGTCGGTGCGTTAAATTTGAGAAGTTTGGTATGGTTTTACTAATCCTACAGTCACCATGTAATTTTTTGTGTGCTTTAACTTCACTCTTACAGTATCATAAATACATGCTTAACTATACCACTTTTTTTTTTGACAAATGGCCAAATGACATAATAGTCAAAACAAATTCATTCAAAATGTATACTTACATCGTAATATATCAGAATTTTAAATGTTAAATAACCATCAAGCTCGATGTTGATATATAAATCTGAAGACTGAAAACAATCATCTAAATGATTTCAAACACTTTAAACAAGATTATTGTAGGAGTCTTAAAGAAGACTATTAAGTACCTACTGCAAGACTCGTAAAACCGAATAAGAAATGACTAGGACGTCGGTCCAAGTGGTAAAGAGATTCCCGACTGGAATTTCTGCCACCTAGGTTTGATTTACACCGCAAGGAACTATTTATAATACTTAGATTCTTGAGAAAGAGGTGAAACCATCGTACTATATATTAATTGAGAAGTTATTTTAGTGATTTTTTCTTAGTCGTCACTCATAGGTGAAATTTAGAATTAATTCTCTTAATTTGATTGGTTGTTGGTATTTATATTTTTATTTATTTAAATCAAGTTTTTAAAAAGAAACTAATAATATAATTACCTAATTTAATCTATGTTACCAAATAAATAATCAAGCATCTTAAATTTAAATGAATTAACATATTTTTTTGTTGAAACAATTGATTATCATATATTATATTTTAAAAATTATAATATAAATACATATGATACTATATAAACAATTTTATAAATATTATCTTTATAGTGGATACAATAAATCATAGATCGTGAAAAACTAATAAATAGAAACCTAATAATATTTCTACCCACTATATACATATACTATAAAAATGTGTCAAATAAATGCAAAACAGTCAAATATATAATTTTTTTTTTAAAAACAGTCATTGTAATTTTCAATGTGATATTATTATTGAGTTATCACTTTTATAAATGATTAGAGTATTTTTTTATGTTAAACACTAAAAACAAATATGTGAGAGAGGGGAGAGAGGGGGAGAGATGGTGATGATGAGGATGAGAGTGAGAATTATGATAAGAATAAAGATGAGAGTGGATATAAGTGAGAGACTAAATGTAAGTAAGATAGATTTTGAAATCATTTATTAATCCTATGTGAGAGAGTTTGAATGGTGAAAATTTTGTAACCATAAGAGCGATAGAGAGAGTTTGAAAGCGAAGTATTGAGGATTATAGTGAGGATAAGGGTAAGAGTGAATATAAGCGATTGTGAGAAAGTGAATGTAAGTTTGGAAGATTTTGAGATTATTTGATCAACTGAGAGAAAGAAAAGGAAAGAGAGCAAGAGATGTATAAAGAGACAAAAAAATAATAAGCTAGAGAGATACAGAAAGAGATCGAATGAATATGTGGAAAAAAAAAAAGAAAAAAAAAGATTAAAAAATGGAGTAACTATGAGAGAGAAAAATAAAATTACAATATATTTATATATTCACATTAATTTTTATACATGTAATATATGGATTATACTAATTTATGCACATACGTGCAGGCCGTCCACCTAGTTATATTTACTTGTTCCCACATACATTTTCTAATGTAATACTTTTCATATGAGCCTAAGTCACATTTGTATTCACTCTTACCCAATATTTAATTATTCCTTAAAGCTCACTGCTAGTCAAAATTGGTCTAACAACTATATCTATACATATATAATAGTCACTAGGACTTTAGGGCACCATGCAGAGAAATAATAATTAAAATTTTAAATTTATTTAAATTTTTACATGATTATTTGGTTGTTTCTTCTGATTTTGGTTTATATATCATTTTGATGTTAATAAAAGGTTTAATTATATTATATTGTATTTAACGATTATTTATTTTAAATATGTATTTTATTCTCTAGTTTAAATATGCATATGTTTAAATATATGAATATTAGTTTCCGTTTGTTTTGGTTAAAATAATTTAAAATCAATTTGCGAATTAAATTGATGAACAGATTAATAAACAGATACATTTGAAGAAAAAATCCAATCATTTAACTATTAACAAAAAACTTTTATTTGTACTACATTAACTTGGTATTGGTTAAGGCACACTTGAATTTAATTTTTATAATATAAATGTATATATACAAAATATGCTATATAATTTTATATTTGTAATTTTATTTAATTTATTTATTTTACTAATGTGATATGTATATAATTTTTAGCGATGGAACGGATCTGAGGGATATGAGCTACTAATTATTACTATATATTTTTTAAAACAAAATTTTCAAAATGAATATTTATACGATCAAATTTAGTTTTATAGTGATATATGAGTTATTATTAATTAATTACTATATTTGAAAAATATTGCCAAAACATCAATCTTTATAAATGAAAGAGATATTTTTGGGTTCACCCCTATGGTGAATCTCTAAATTCACAAACCAATAGAATTGTCTTATATATATTTAATATCTTTTAAAAAAGAAAATAAAATATTATCAAATTGTACTATGTTTTTAAAATAAAAATATAAAAATAAATAAAAGTTCCAAAAAGGAATATTTTTAACATTTTTAACGCCGATAGCAAAACACTAAACCCTAAATCCTAAACCCTAAACCTTGGGACAAACCATAACCCATTAGGTAAATCATAAACCCTCGGATAAATCTTAAACACTAAATCAAAAATACTAAACACTAAATTTTAAAAACCCTAACCCTTAATCCTAACTCCTAAACCCTTGGGAAAATAAAAAAATATTTTTAACACCGTGAACAAAACACTAAACTCTAAATACTAAAAACTAAATGTTAAACACTAAACTCTAAATCACTGGATAAACCATAAATCCTAGGGTTTAAAACTATCTAAGGGTTTAGGGGTTAAGATTACGGCTTTAGTATTTTAAAGATTTAGTGTTTAATGTTTTTGATTTAGGGTTTAGGATTTATCTGACGGCTTAAGGTTAACTCATGGATTTAGAGTGTAAGATTTAGGATTTATGGTGTGCTGTTTTGCTAACAACGTTGAAAATATTTTTAAAAATTATATTTTTTACAAATATTACTTTTTATATATTTACCTTTTCATTTTAAAACATAATATAATTTGATAATATCTTGTTTTTTAAAAAGAAAAGATATTAAATATGTGATAATACAACTCTATGGAGGGATAAATCCAAGAATAAATCTATTTTAAACAACATATTATTTGTTTGTTATAAATCAATGTGGTAATGAAATATAGACGAATCACTTTGTAAATAGTGTTTAAGGGATATGCGTGAAAAAAACATGATCATCCACTTCCTCGAAATACTTTTAAGGCAACCTCTTCTTCGAAGTACTCTAAGGCAACCTCTTAAACGACCTAAAAACTCAGATACATTCCAAGAAGCGATGTTAGTGGTCGTCCCATCGGCTAGTGTATTTGAGGGACGAGCTTGATAGGTCTTTTGCGAAAGCTTAAGGGAATATGATTGGCTCCCAATTGTTTACTTTTCTGTTGATTTGGTGTATTTTCTACATTTTGTCAACAAATAAACAAGAGAAAAAACATCCTTTGAAAATTCTGTCTTCATAACATCTTTGTTTATCATTTGGCTAAGACTGTACTGGTAATAACAAAGAGTGAACCAGTAATAACCAAGAGATGTCATGTTACTAGATGAGCTTGACTATTAGGTGAAAGTATGAGTCATTTGGCACTTTGTTAAACACTTGTTTCTATCTTCTTAACATCTTTGTTTATCATTTGGCCAAGACTGAACCGGTAATAACAAAGGCTGAACCGTAATAACCAAGAGGTGTCATGTTACTAGATAAAGCTTGACTAATAGGTGAAAGTATGAGTCATTTGGCACTTTGTTCACACTTGTTTGAACTTTTCTCTGATGAATTGAATGCTTTATTAGAAAAGCTTCATACCATAACCAATTGTAAAACCATATATTCAACTTTGAAAATTCAGCCAAGCAGACTAGTCAATATTGATGGCGACGGTCTTGTAGAGGCATTATATTAATGAGAATGCACAAAATGCTCTGCTTTTTACTTGTATAAATACCACACTACTTGTGTCTTAATTCATCACCTTCACCTTCAATATCAAACACATCACATCTCTCAGAGTTTCTTTGTAATCAAAATCAATGGCAGGTATCAAAGTTTTCGGACATCCTGCTTCGGCTCCCACGATGAGAGTCCTCCTCGCCCTCCACGAGAAAAACCTTGACTTTGAGTTCGTTCATGTCGACCTCATGGGAGGTGAGCACAAGAAAGAGGCTTTCCTAGCCCGCAACGTAAGTATATCTATCTATCTATGTTGTTGTAAGACAAGACAACACTCAAGAGAGGTTCACCACTTTTATGGCTCTAGTCAAAAAAACTAAACTCTTAATATATAGGGAATGATTATTTAATTATCAGTTTTATATTTAAAAATAAATTTCGTGATAAAACAAAATTGTACACGTATAAAATACTTTTGGGTCTTTTATAATGTAGTTTATTTAAAATTAAAATTTTCTAAAATATATTTGTATATATATACACAACTGAACCCCTTAATTACTAAGATACAGAGAACAACACTTTTGATAAATCTGGTCTGATACTTGAACTGGTTGCGTTTGATATATATTGCAGCCTTTTGGTCAAGTTCCAGCCTTTGAAGATGGAGACCTCAAGCTCTTTGGTATATGATCATCTCAAATATGATTTGACAATATGCATTAGAAGAAGAACAAAAAGTCACTTACATGATTTGTTTCTTTTATGTAGAATCAAGAGCGATTACTCAGTACATAGCTCACCGATACGAAGGCCAAGGAACCAACCTTCTCCCGGCCGACTCCAAGAACATAGCCCAATATTCAATCATGGCCATTGGAATGCAAGTAGAAGCTCACCAGTTCGAGCCAGTGGCTTCAAAACTTGTTTCTGAACAAGTATTTAAGCTCAAGAAAGGCTTGACCACAGACCAAGCCGTTGTTGCCGAAGAGGAGGCTAAGTTAGCCAAGGTCCTTGATGTTTACGAGGCTCGGCTCAAGGAGTTCAAGTACTTGGCTGGAGACACTTTTACTTTGACCGATCTTCACCACATTCCTACGATTAAATACTTGCTTGGAACTCCCACTAAGAAGCTCTTCACCGAGCGTCCACGTGTCAGCGAGTGGGTGGCAGAGATCACCAAGAGGCCAGCTTCCCAGAAGATCCTTCAGTGAGGAATATCTAAAAGGCTCTTCTTCAGTAACAGTAATAATACTCAGAGTAAATAAGTGGCTACCTCATTGCCCCATTTCTCAGTACTCTGTTTTTTTTTTTCTGTTTTTATTCTATGTATGTGTTCTGGAGAGATCTTTGTTGAATTAAAAACTACATCTACCTAATCTTCAAGCTTTTCTGTAATAAAAAAGATTAGTTACTTATTTAATACAAAGGTTGCAATGTCTTTTTTTTTTGACTAGTGAGCATATTATACATCATACAAAGACTTTTGGTTGAGTTTGATTAGTCTTTGCAAGTTCTACTTTCTACCTAATTTTCTGAGCAAGGAAGCTGACGTAAGACTTTGAGCGTTCTTAGAATAAAATCTCCATGCAGAGACATATATTTACAGCATCTGGTCATCCCCAAAGTTAAAGGCTTTGCAGTATTCACATATTTACTCCACCAAGAAATATGATTTGTTAGTTAGTAGAATTTGTAAGTCATCATCCATCCCAAAAATATTGAGAGATCTATAATATCCACCTAAAGATTTGTTTCTTTCCATCTCATCTGTATAGACAAGAAACGCCAAAAAGAGGTCAGAAGAGAGAGAAATAAGGATTAGTTTCAGATTTTCTGAAAAATAGAAATGTTTTTAGTTATATTTTAAACATTATTTAGTACTATTTGTTATTTTTTTTTAAATACAAATATTATGTAGAATAAATTTGATTTTACCAAAAATATGTTATATATGATAATTTTCTATATGCAATTATGGTGAAAAGACAATATGATAGCAATGTTTTGTTTTATTTTACAAAATTTCTGTTTTTTACGAAGTTGTTTGTTATTGGGTTTGGTAAATTCGTAGAAGCTAATCATCTTGTAAAAGGTAATTTAACGTTCATATACTTGAGAAATTTTCAAAAAAAAAAAATATTTGAGAAATTTTATAGTAATAAAAAGTACTAGAGAAATTTTATAGTACTTGAGAAACTTTTTCAAAAAAAATAAAAATAAAAAGTAGCCGTTGCAATACACTCTTCGTGCGACGATTAAACCGGCTAAGCTATTGACCGTTAGTGTTAAGTTAAACCATGTCGTTTTACTGTCGCTTAACAAAAAAAATATTTATTTAAATAGTTTTTGTCCTCTAGGGTGAAAATACTGTTCTCTCTCGACTGTTTCTGGAGGCGATCACGAAACCATCATCTCCAGAATTACTCTGTTCGCTTTGCTTATACCTTTTTACTTTTATTTCATTCGCCTTTTTGATGTTTAAGGTTTCTAATTTCATTTTTGGGTTCTTATTTAGGGTTTTTTATTTCAGTTTTTGGTGTTTATTTAGGGTTGTTGATACTACATCAATCTCGATCACTAATTTGAAATTTCTCGTCCAAATTCGTTTTTCTGCTCTTCTTCTCGTGCAGATTCAGTTTTGACATTCAGTTTTTGAATTTCAAAATTTTGTGTGCTTATTTAGGGTTTTTTATTTCAATTTTTGGGTGTTTATTTAGGGTTGTTGAATTCGCATTAACCACAATCACTAATTTGAAATTTCTCGTGCAGATTCGCTTTTCTTTCTTCAAAAGGCATCGCAGAAGAAGTGAGATATCCGCATAATACTATCCGACGGATCTTCTTCAAGGTTGATTCTTGATTTTTGAATTTATCTTTTATTGCTTTGTTTTATTCTAATGATTCTGATTGTAAGCTTGTATAGTTGTAAAAGCTTGGTTCTTTCGCTCCAGTGTCTTATCAGTTATCACCTTCAGCCTTTAGCCCTTTGTTTGAATAGGTTGTTCAATTACTAGTTGAGGACATACTCTAATGTAAAGCTTGTGTATGAACTTAGGTGAGGTTCATTGGTGATTATTACATGGATCTGCGATAACAGTCTCTATTCTATCAAACCATTCATTGACGACACCTTTCTTCCCAGGTATTTCCTCTTTCTTTAAGTTTTTTTTTTTTAAATTGGACAGTTTAACTATTCTTTAAACTATTCTATAAACATATTCTATTCTATTATAAGCAGTTATGCTTGAAAACAAGTAGTACATATTTTAACTCTTATCTTTGTAGTATTCACCAGTCTCTAGTTTGAGCTGGTATTCGTTATATGTCTTTCCTTTATCTTATTAACTTCAGTTTTACTCGTTTCATTATTCTTTGTTTCAAATTCGTTTGTTTTCTTTGTCTTTAGCATGAAGTTTTCTTTTATCCTATCTATACTGAAAACGAGGTAATTTTAATTACCTCTCTAAACTATCCCTGATGCCATTATGTGAGTGAGCTTGTCCCATGGTTTATTAGTTGCATGAGCTATAAACAAATGCCTCGTTACAAGGTAATCTTAATTACCTCTCTAAAATGTCTCTGATGCCAAAACACAGATGAGGTTGTCCCGCTTGTTAATAAAACTCTGTTTCCTAGTCCCAGAGCTATAATGAAGCACGGTAATCTTAATTACCTTTCTGAATGTCTATGATGATAGAACACAGAGGTTGTCCCACGGTTTACTAGTCTCAGAGCTATAATCAAAATGCTCTGAAATAAGGTAATTTTAATTACCTTTTCTAAATGTCCCTGGTGATTGAACGCAGAGCTTGTCCCACAGTTTACTAGTCTCAAAACTATAATCAAACGCTCTGAAATAAGGTAATCTTAATTACCTTTCTGAAATGTCCTTGATGATTGAACAGAGAGTTTGTCCCACAATTTATTAGTCTCGGAGTTATAATCAAACTGTTCTGAAACAAGGTAATCTTAATTACCTTTCTAAATGTCCCTGATGACTGAACATGGAGCTTTTCTCACATTTTTATTAGTCTCCGAGCTATAATCAAACTGTTCTGAAACAAGGTAATCTTAATTACCTTTTTGAAATGTCCCTGATAATTGAACAGAGATCTTGTCCCACAGTTTATTAGTCTCAGAGCTATAATCAAACTGTTCTGAAACAAGGTAATCTTAATTACCTTTCTGAATGTCCTTGATGATTGAACACATAGCTTGTCCCATTAACTGCCTCGTACTACAGGTAATTTTAATTACCTCTTTGAAGTGTCCATGATGCCTTAATGTAAGTGAGCTTGTCCCATTAACTGCCTCGTACTACAGGTAATTTTAATTACCTCTTTGAAGTGTCCATGATGCCTTAATGTAAGTGAGCTTGTCCCGTGGTTTCTATAAGCAAATGCCTCGTCTTAGAATCAAGGTAATCTTTGTAACACAGATGAGCTTGTTCCGGCTCTTTGAATAACACAAGTGGCTCGTCCGAGAAGTAAGGTAATCTTAATTACCTCTCTGAAATGTCCCTAATGCTAGAATATGAAGATGTTCCGCTTCTTTAAATAACTCGGTTCCCTGGTCACCCGAGCTATGAAACAAATGACTCGTAAAAAGGTAATCCTAATTACCTCCCTGATGTTCCTGGTGTCAGAACATTAGGAATTGTCCCGCTTGTTTATAAAAACTTTGTTCATAGTCTCAGAGCTATAACCAATATGCTATGAAACAAGGTAGTCTTAATTACCTTCCTGAAATGTCTCTGCTGAAAGAACACAGAGTTAGTCCCGCAGTTTCCCAATCACAGTAGAGATTGTCCCTGAATAAGTCGGTTTTCATAGTCACCCGAGCTATAAACAAATGGCTGGTAAAGAGGTAATCTTAATTACCTCTCTAAAATGTCCCTGATGACAGAACACAAGTAAACTTGTCCTACGGTAGAATGTCCCTGCAAAACTGGGTTTCCTAGTCACTCAGGCTCTAATTTGCACAAGGTAATCTTAATTACCTCTCTGAAACGTCCCTGAACAGAACACAAGTAAGCTTGTCCTACGGTAGAATGCCCTTGCAAAACTCGGTTTCCTAGTCACCCGAGCTCTAAACAAATGACTTGTAACAAGGTAATCTTAATTACCTCTCTGAAACGTCCCTACTATGTCACTAATGCTAGACTGCTCATGAGGTTGTCCCTTTGCCTTCTTAGGATCTTAGTTACCTGAGTTGCTTGAGATCCTAGTCACTCAAGTGAAATCTCAAGCCAAACAAAAGTCCCTGATGCTAAAAATACATATGAGGGTGTCCCATATCATTACATTACTCAGGTTTCTATTCAACTGAGTTAAACACAATTGCCTCTAGAATTGCTTGAGATCCTAGTCACTCAAGCTAAATAAAAGCCAAGAGACTAAAGGACGCGAATGATGAGGTTTTCCCACCTCTTTGGACTACTTGGTTTTCTGGTCAATTAAACACAAATGCCTCGGCCTATATCTAATGAAATTCCTCAAACTAAAAGAACCGAGTTTCTAAAATGAAAATGAGGTTGGCCTCCCTCTTCTGACTACTCGGTTTATAGTCAGCAACACAATCCTTCCCGGTTCCAGGTGTACTAAGAGATAAGGTAAATATTTTTTCCTTCTTCTGTTTCAGGTATGTGTATTTCTTATTCTCTCTATATATGATGCTTTATTTCTTGATCTCGTTTAGACATACAATCGACTATCAAAGATTTAATCAGTTTTTTTTTAATGCAGGTTGACATCAGTAGTACAAATTCATTGTGTTTACACACTATCAAGAGGTAATGAACAAACATATAGAAGATCAACACAAATCTTTCCATTTGAACAAGCTTACAGATGTCGTCTAACTCCTCCCCTCTGGGTTTCAAAGACACCACCAAGAGTTTCAGGTTATTTTTTTCCCACTCTTTTAATATTTTGGGTTTGTTCTTCTCCTCTGAGTTCCATTTCTGGAATCGTAATTGATCTTTAATAGATGTCCATATGTCTTTTGCCTTCAGTTTCCTTAGTTCTATAAGAAACTATGTATATATTACTAGTGTGTTAATCAATTTGCAGAAGCTTGATATCCATTTTTTATATTCATGTTGCTTGAGTTAATGTCAAGTATCTATAAAATAAGTTTTTGCATCTCTGTTTTTCCGAATCTTTGTTTAGGTTCTACCTTATTGTTTGTTTCTCTATGTTGAATTGATCTCTAAAACTTTATATTATTCTTCGGTACATGATTGTCTCTCATAAGAAAATTCATTCTTGAGTGCTTATAAAAGCTATGATGACCGTAGCACTGCATCAGTGTTGTCTCACTTAGTTTCTTAAGATTTAAAAAATTTCTTTTAAAGTGCTTTATTATATTGTAGAGCTATATATAAAGGTATGTAAATTCTAACATAATTCAAAGTGTTTCAGCTTAAGTTTA